ATCTCATACCAACATGTTAAATGGGTGTTAAAGGAACAAATAAAAAGAGAACACAATAGGCTCTGGATAGAACTTCCTGGACTTAGACAGTCCAAAAGATTCATAGAGGGGCCATCCACGAGCAGACAATATCAACTGCTAAACCTTAGCAGAAGCGAACTCAAGGCCGTAATAGGACTCCTTACGGGACACTGCGGCCTTAGAAGACACCTAAATCTCTTAGGGATATCTGATGACTCCCTATGCAGAATATGTGAAGAGGAGGACGAAACTCCTATTCACATACTATGCCACTGCCGGAACCTTAAATGGGAACGGGAATGGTACTTCGGGGTACAATATCCGGAACCTGAAGAAATCGCGAAAGCGCCCATCAGACATATTCTTGAATTCATCAAGAAAATCAATCTGATGGGATAGAAACTGTGAGGGGTACAATAAGCCTAGAGCTTCAGTACAAGTTGGCTTTGAACCACGCCCTAATTCAGATGATGATGATGAAGACCTAGTGTAGATAAAATCATCTTCTTACAAACCAAAAATTTAGTACAGTCCTTCTTTAGGTAATAATAAAATGTGCAAGAATGTCTCGTACATTCGACTTTTTTTTATAGTCTAAGATCCGAAGTAAGGTCGACCTTCACCCATATGTTTAATGGATGAAAGTTTCTTTTTATTTAATAAAATGTGTTTTTAAATATACCGCAAATGGGTTGTCTAAGAAAATACGGTCCAGACTATTTATTTTCTTAAAGTAAAAAAAACGACACCCTGTAAAGTATTCTCCAGATGCTTTGACTATACCTAAACTTTAATCAGCTTACCTTAGGATGGATTAAAGCTTAAGTTTAAAATTTGGTGTTTTTCTCTTTATCCGTTTTTGAGTTATCTTCAAAATTCGAAATTTGCACTTTTCCTCAAATATCTCGAATCAGGTCCATTTTAGATAGGAACAAAATAATAGAGAATGACATCATAAGCAACTTTTATCATGATTCCTATACTTTCCTAATCTGTACACAGAAAGGAAAGTAAAAAATGGCCGTGACCGTATTTTCCTAGGCAACCTTTTTGCGGTATATTTAAATACATATTTTATTTCATAAAAAAAACTTTTATCCATTAAACAGATGGGTGAAGGTCGACACTACTTACGGATCTCGGACTATTACTATCAACTACATCGACTAATGTAGAAATAACTGATTTGCTTGAATCCGATAGAGGTCATCTTTTTCCAAAATGTAATAAAAATATCCTATCTGACTTCTTCACTAAACTTAACACAATGTCGTCCATTTTTTTTACATTTGTTAGAGGTGCAACTTACACCTAGTTTTCTTTCTTTACCAACTTTGACATATTTGTATTGCCCATCAATCTTCTTCATACCTTCATACTCTTCTCCTTCCAAACGCTTTTTTTCTCGTTTGCACGTTTTCTTTGTACACGAGTTTTGTTTTTATTTCCATTATTGTTACCTAGCATCTCAGTTTTACTGAGATCACTAAGATTGTCATTACCGTTCTTTTCTTCTGCAACTTCTTGTAGTTCTTGCATAATATTAAAGTCTGGATCTTGTTCTTTATTATCAGCTGTTTCACAGCTTTCTTCTACATCTATGTCCATACGGTTTTCTTGAAAATTTAAATTTACAGTTAGGGTTTCAAAAACCTTAGGCGCAACTTCTGGATTTTCTTGTAGAACATGATACTCAATATTGGAATTAACCTCTTGGATCTCGTCAAACAGCTTCTTGTTAGCAGAACCTACTTCCATAATAATATGGTCAACTGACTGACCATTTTCAGGAGTTAAAACAGCTATAACTATATCCATCGGTAAATATTGATTTTTGTTTTCTTTACAATTTTAACACTACTTTTTGCAATATTTGTATTGGACTGATTCTGCATCATCTAAGGTAAAGAAATTGTCATTGCTTTCGATACCATTGAATATATAACCAGAATAGATCCGAAGCCTGCATCTGCCTGAGCAAGAACAGGCTACGTATTGTAACAGGGATCCTTACCGGGCATTGCCGACTAAAAGGACACCTAAGTAAACTGAGAGTAGTAGAGGATAGTGAGTGCAGATTCTGTGAGGAGGAGGACGAAACATCCATTCACATCCTAACTGAATGTGTAGCACTCCAGAATCCAAGGGCACTGTATCTAGGAGGATATCAAATAGAAGAGGGAGATTTACCTAATTTGAAGCCACTTCAAATCCTACACTTCCTTGAGAAAATAGGATTGGAAGGGTCGCTATAGGCATTGAGACATTTCCTTAGTGCAGTGGCGACAGAAGGGGGCACAATAGATCTTTTAGGTCGCAGTATATTAACACCCCATTCTCAACTTAACATAACATACCATTGAATATTTTGATTATTTGATGCTAAAGATGTAGCCATTTTTAAAAAAGTTTGCTTCTTTTTAAAGCCATATCTGTAGGTAAAAAAATACGAAAATTATCGTTTCGGTAAACTACTACTATATCATTTTTAGCACCTATTTCAGTAACAACATAACTAAAAAAATCGTTCAGCATTGTATTTTAATTTTAAACCATTTTTCAACTGTAATTAATTTAATGGCAAAAGAATTTCTATTAAAGACGATTTTTTTGTATAAAACAGTTTGTTAGAAACCTATTTATTAACAAAAATCAATCAAGTAAAACTACATCTGTTTGTAACCTTATATTAGGAGTTAAAAACCACGTATAAAGGATCCCAGGGTTGTTTAAAACCTCGTATTAGAAAATTGATTTGAAACATCATTTATTATCGTTAAAAACGTTAATAATTTTTTTTACACTTATAAAGTATAAATCTGTATTTAACACATTACTTACCATCTCAAAAAGTATCGGGCACTATAACTTTATCAAATTAAATCACTTTGAATAAAAGCACGATGTGAAGTATAGCGGCTCAGTAACATAACAGGCTAATAAGAAATTTTCTTTTTGGCTTAAAATTTCTTTATTATTATGAATTCTTATACGTAGTTTAAAGTAAAGATATGTATTTGAAAAAATGCATAATAAAAGGTTTTGCACATTTACCGACGATATGTGGGTATTAATTGAAGATAACTTTAATCCATTATAGAAAAAGATGAATTATGAATTGCATTTATGTTGGCTTACCATACTGTCATACATTATATTTTTGCTTATTAGTTTCTGATTTATTTCTATTTTTGGTTTTTTTTATGCTTTGTTTTTTTTTTTCGTCACTTGTTTCTTATAACTTATCTGACTTCATAGTTTTACATAAGATAAACTCATAAAAAAACAAGGAAACAAGAAAATTTTAAATATTTTTTTTAATAAAGTATGAACATACCACAGAAAATTTTCCCAATTTCTTGCATTAACACTATCAAATGCTTCAATATATGCTTTACCTATGAAACGCAGACCCCTACACAAGCGCAGTAAATAGCTGATTATAGTAAAAAAAGGTACAATAATTACAAAGCACGGTAAACAAAACGTATGGTAAACAAAACGCATAGAAAACAAAACACATAAAATATAATACACGCATATTTATCTATGTAAGTGGTCGTAGATAGAGTATAGGACATAAAGCGTATTGTAAAGCAATTACTGCACTTATTACGCAATATACTAGGTACTACGAGTCCCCTACTCATTTCTTCTGTCACACTTTTATTGCAATGTGCACAAAATCCTCTATTTTGTCATTGAAGTTGAGTTGTCTAGTTTTATAACTACACTACATTTTAAATAACCTTATAAGAAAAATTCTAACCGTGTCAAATCTGATGATCGTGCTGGCCACCTAAAAGGACCTCTATTTCCTAACCAAAGATTTGGGAAATGTTGTTTGCGGTATTCATTTACAATGTGATGATTATGTGATGAAACCAATGGCGTACCCACTTGGGGGATAATGGGGATATATCCCCAAGGAAGTACCGGCACGACCACAAACTCAAACACATCATCAAAGTGATAAATGATCATAAGAAAAAATAAGAGTAGAACACCTCTAAATTGCTTTATAATATTTACTAAATCACATACATCATACATGTGTTAGAAGTATCTTAATAAATAAAAATTTAAATTGTCTCAAAATTGTTGTGAGGAGTTTTCGCGGCACGAGTTTTCTGCTTGTATCATCGTCGATGATATAATTATTCATAGATCAGTTGTGTAATATGTTATCAGCTCCTGGACTAGGGGACTAAATTTTATTACGTAAAATAAAACATTCAAATTTACAATAAAAATTTTGTTATCCCTCCCCCAAGATCCATATCTAGGTACACCACTGGATGGAACAACGTCTTGTAGTTGTTTTTTCTGACTTAGAATGATCGAAAACGTCGAGAAAAGTGTTAAAAAGTAGAGTTAACAAAATTTTTTCGTTGGTATCTGCGAATGCATTATAGACATGGACCCCTATACTTACTTCTTTAATTATTTATATTTCTTTTAAATAATAGGTACATATTTTTGTACATTCTAAAAGAGTCTAAATTTTAATCTCCTTTAGTATGTACATGTATTTTAATAACACCCTGAATATATGCAAACGTTCGTTGTCACATTTTTTTATTGTCTGTATAGTTCCTCGTAAATTGATATATTTTTCTTTTACTGTTTGATCATCGTGTCACCTACAAACAATATTTCACACATTTTGTTGCTTCCATCCTCTAACTTTGAACATAAAACTTTTTTATTTTTGTACAGCTTTCTTTATATCGCTTCATTCAAGACTAACGAGAATAACACGGGGCCTTGTTTCATTCCTATTAGACGTGGATTTATTTTGTATTCCTACTATATTGGAGATGTTATCATGTCTCAACATTATTATGTATGCTATTGTTTTGTTTACTTTTCTATTTTCTAAGCATTTACATAAATTTTGTTTACCTGCTTTACCGGAGGGTCAAATTTCCTGAAAACAGATGTTATGAAGATAAAAAAGGTTTGTAAGAACATACAAGATGTTTGCACAAGAATACTGTCAGTGTACTAACCATCTTTTGGACAAAGGTCATGATTTTGAATCATCGGAAAGTTTCAAAATATTATATAGTACTTAGTACTCATAATAGGTTCATATTATACACTCTAGAAAATTTGGAATTCTTAAAACATCTGTAGAACCACTCAAGCAGTTGTTTAAATGCGAATAATTATCTGTTTTTCTATTATGATTTTCAGAGCTCAACTTACCGGTATCATTTTATAATGAGAAAAAATCTAGAGTGGGTAGTTGGGTGACCTAGGGGACAATTAGTAGGGCCTCTCCTTCCTATCCATTTTTCAGGAATTTTTTGGTGTAAATATCTCCTGACATTACCCGAAAAATGGACGGAAGCACCATCTAAAAGAAGGTTCCAGAAATCTTTCTTCAAAAACCTCTAGTGAAATCATTAACTATGCCGTAGTGCACAAAATAATCTCCATGGGAAATGCATTTAAAGCACTAAAGTTAAAACAAATAATCTGAAAATAAATAGAATTCTCGGTTGGAAGAAATTATAAAGACAAAACCGCAAGTCCATGAGAGCTTTCGTGTAAGAAAAATGTCTCATCGGCACAAATGCGGTATACTCAAGATTTCCATAAATAGGGGGGATACTTATATGTATATGGGGAAACTCATGCCATGCATTTCGAGATTTTCTGCAACAAAAAAATCTGTAAGAGTACCTACAGGTAGAAACTAAAAATAATGACACTTCCGGGAATTTATATTGGAAACCCACAAAAATATTTCAAAACGACATTCACTTGCATTCTACACAGAATAATGGTAATGCTAATTGTTTACGTAAGCAGCAATACAGACTCGATGCATCTGTTAAAAACTCCGCTAATATTAGTTTATTTATTAAGCTTCTGGATGAAATAAAAAATTTAGTGTACCTATTGTTTAAAAATTCAAACAACACTGTGATTATTGGCAATACATTTTACTCAGTAGATGAATATTTTCAACCAAATGCAACTAACTTGTTTTGATGAACTGTTTTACAAAAACATTTTGTCAATTTTTTAATTTGTCTAAATTTTATATGTAAACTAAGATGTGCTACAAATATTGTGCACGTGTAACAATGTCAATATCTATCAGTACAAAGGTTGTTTGAAAAGATAATTTAAACGTATATCTTTAAGTTTAAAGAATAAATACAGTTATTGGAACATATTGAAACAGATTTTGAAATAGGTATTGAAACAGATTTTGAAACAGATATTGAAACAGATATTGAAACAGATATTGAAACAGATATTGAAACAGATATTGAAACAGATATTGAAACAGATATTGAAACAGATATTGAAACAGATATTGAAACAGATATTGAAACAGATATTGAAACAGATATTGAAACAGATATTGAAACAGATATTGAAACAGATATTGAAACAAATATTGAAACAGATATTGAAACAGATATTGAAACAGATATTGAAACAGATATTGAAACAGATATTGAAACAGATATTGAAACAGATATTGAAACAGATATTGAAACAGATATTGAAACAGATATTGAAACAGATATTGAAACAGATATTGAAACAGATATTGAAACAGATATTGAAACAGATATTGAAACAGATATTGAAACAGATATTGAAACAGATATTGAAACAGATATTGAAACAGATATTGAAACAGATATTGAAACAGATATTGAAACAGATATTGAAACAGATATTGAAACAGATATTGAAACAGATATTGAAACAGATATTGAAACAGATATTGAAACAGATATTGAAACAGATATTGAAACAGATATTGAAACAGATATTGAAACAGATATTGAAACAGATATTGAAACAGATATTGAAACAGATATTGAAACAGATATTGAAACAGATATTGAAACAGATATTGAAACAGATATTGAAACAGATATTGAAACAGATATTGAAACAGATATTGAAACAGATATTGGAACAGATATTGAAATAAATATTGAATCAGATATTAAAACAGATATAGAACCAGATAAAACATATTGTTATGGAAATTCCTGACATATTCAAAATTGAAAATGCTGGGGCGGTAAAGTTTCTCGAAATCAAAATTTAAAGTAAAAATTTAGCATATTTGGGGGTTGTCGATTTGTCAAGAATTAAAAAAAAATGTAAGAGAAGAATTTATATAAAGTTATTGGAATTTAATATTTGTTAGAAGAGAGAGTTGGAATAAAGAAAAATATATAAACAGGTAAAAATAAAACGCGTTTCATTGCAAACATTTGAAATTTAGACCGAGCAGTAAAAAGAGACAGAGATGACTAGGAGGTAGGAGCAGATTCAGAGAAAGCAGAGTTAAGGACACAGGCAGTGACGGCGGAGATGACAGAGACAAGCAGATATAAGCAGAGACAAGCAGAGACAAGCAGAGACAAGCAGAGACAAGCAGAGACAAGCAGAGACAAGCAGAGACAAGCAGAGACAAGCAGAGACAAGCAGAGACAAGCAGAGACAAGCAGAGACAAGCAGAGACAAGCAGAGACAAGCAGAGACAAGCAGAGACAAGCAGAGACAAGCAGAGACAAGCAGAGACAAGCAGAGACAAGCAGAGACAAGCAGAGACAAGCAGAGACAAGCAGAGACAAGCAGAGACAAGCAGAGACAAGCAGAGACAAGCAGAGACATGCAGAGACAAGCAGAGACAAGCAGAGACAAGCAGAGACAAGCAGAGACAAGCAGAGACAAGCAGAGACAAGCAGAGAAAAGCAGAGACAAGAGTGAGAAGAGAGAAGAAATTCAAGATTTTTCTAATTTTTTTTTAAATTTTTTATTTAACTCCTTTATACATTTTTAGAACCGAACCATCCCTTTTGAGAATATTGTGAAATTGGGAAAATAAGTTGAGATGGAGAGTGTTTCCGTATCAATATATTAAAAGACATAGATATTGAAACTAATATTGAAACAGATATCGAAACAAATATTGAAACAGATATTGAAACAGATATTGAAACAGATATTGAAACAGATATTGAAACAGATATTGAAACAGATATTGAAACAGATATTGAAACAGATATTGAAACAGATATTGAAACAGTTATTGAAACAGATACTGAAACAGATATTGAACCAGATATTGAACCAGATGTTAAAACAGTTATTGAAAGATATATTAAAAGAGATGTTGAAACAGATATTAAAAAAGATATGGAAACAGATATTGAAACCGATATTGGAACAGTTATTAAAACATATATCGAAACAGATATTGAAACAAATGGAAAAAGTAGATTGTTGAGAATTCAAGAGTAATTCTCAACGGTAGTTAAATTCAAATTTACCGCGCCAAATTTTCAATGCCCGATGAATATGCGCCAACTCGGTTCCCTTTAAAAATGCGGAAATAACGGTCAAGCATTATCTGCTCCTGGCGACACAGGACAGATGTGTCCCGAACGGCGTCAGTTATACAGTAGTTAAAAAGTTATACTAATCACGTGTGTGTGTTAGTGTGAAGATACCCTTTTATATTGGCGATACCCTATATCCCACTAAACCCAAAGTACCTAACTCTTTTTTAAAATACTTTAATTTCCGTGGTGACGAGTTCCCGGTAAAATATCAGAATTGCATCTCATATATCAGTGAAAGTACTAGTATAAAAAGTGTGAAGTGTAGTGCTCAAGGATTACATGTAAGCTTGGTACTGATGTAATAAAAAGTCTGGAAGTACCCTAAAACTTTCAAATATGCCCTTTATTTTCCCTGCGAATTATACCACCATTTTATTAGCTGTCAATTAAGCATTGTTGCCAGATTGTGTGCTGAGTCGCTTGGCTCTTGTGTAAATATTGTCAACTGTTTTTTCTAATACTTAATATAGTAGTTATTCATAAACAGTAATATTTTATTCATATCCCCCTTCTTTCCCACCTTTCAGTAACCTTATTTTAAAAAAGTAGTTGAAAATCGAAGCATCATGTGCAGCCACGAGTCGTTGTCCACCGCTTAATACAGTTCACTTAAACTACGCATTTTAGGCCGTGTCCTGCACACAGATGTTGAAACATTTAACGAAACAGATATGGAAATAAATATTGAAACTGATATTCAAACATATATTGAAACAGATATTAAAATAGTTATTGAAACAGATACTAAAACAGATAATGAAACAGATATTGAACCAGATATTAAACCAGATTTTGAAACAGTTATTCAAAGACATATTGAAACAGATGTCGAAAGAGATATTAAAACAGATATAGAAACAGATATAGAAACAGAAATTGAAACAGTTATTAAAACAGATATGGAAACAGATATTGAAACAGATATTAAAACAGATATTGAAACAGATATTGAAACAGTTATTAAAACATATATCGAAACAGATATTAAAATAAATGGAAAAACAGATGTTGAAACATTTATCGAAACAGATATTGAAAAAAATATTGAAACAGTCATTGAAACATATATTGAAACAGATATGAAAACATATGAGAACATATGAAAGCATATGAAAACATATATTAAAACAAATACTGAAAGATATTGAAAGAGATAGTGAAAGAAATATTGAAAGAGATAGTGAAAGAGATAGTGAAAGAGATATTGAAAGAGATATTGAAAGAGATATTGAAAGAGATATTGAAAGAGATATTGAAAGAGATATTGAAAGAGATATTGAAAGAGATATTGAAAGAGATATTGAAAGAGATATTGAAAGATATATTGAAAGAGATATTGAAAGAGATATTGAAAGAGATAATGAGAGATATTGAAAGAGATATGAAACATATATTGATAATATTGAAACATATATTGAAACATATATTGAAACATATATTGAAACATATATTGAAACATATATTGAAACATATATTGAAACATATATTGAAACATATATTGAAACATATATTGAAACAGATATTCAAACAGATATTGAAACAAAATATTGTAGATGTTGAAACACATACTGAACCAGACATTGAACCAGATATTGAACCAGATATTAAACCAGATATTAACCCAGATATTAAACCAGATATTGAACCCGATATTGAACCAGATATTGAACCAGATATTGTGCCAGATATTGAATCAGTTATTAAACCAGATATTGAACCAGATGTTGAAACAGTTATTGAAAGAAATATTGAAATAGATGTTGAAACAGATATTAACACATATAGAAACAGATATAGAAACAGAAATTGAAACAGTTATTAAAACAGATATGGAAACAGATATTGAAACAGTTATTAAAACATATATTAAAACAGATATTGAAACAAATGGAAAACACAGATATTGAAACATTTATCAAAACAGATGTTGAAACAGATATTGAAATAGATATTGAAATAGATATTGAAATAGATATATTGAAACATATATATTGAAACAAATATATTGAAACAGATATATTGAAACAGATATATTGAAACAGATATATTGAAACAGATATATTGAAACAGATACTGAAATCTATATTGAAAAATATATTGAAACAAATTATTTTGTTACATTCTCAAAAGGTAGAAGCGCATATCCAAATGAATCTGTTTTAGACGTTTTTTCCATTAAACTATGCATAGTCGAAGCTCCAAGATATTTATTTCTTCTAATTCAATCTCCAGCCCAAACATGAGTATTTCCGTTAATCTCAATTCCAACAATTTTCTATAATTCCACAATATTGCATCTTGCATCTTCCCAACATTTTCCTAGGGCCATTTTCAATACTAATGAGCATATATACACGGTTTGTGTGGACATTCAGCTAAATTACTAAATTACTCGATCGTCTCTTGTCCGATTAAATTACTGGATGCGGGCAAACGGCCCTTTAAAGACAGTTTTCGTAAAATCATTTAACATGAATGCGGTACGATAATTAGTCCTGTGGAACGATCTATCTGCCAATATAGGTACGTATATCACAAAATAATCCCAGACTTGTGTGATGAAATGTTGATAGTTATACACCCCATTGGAGTTTCATACGCATGCAATTACTGTATTTTGTGACGTGATTTCCCCCGGGTATCCTTGTAATTTCCAGTCTGTAAAGTAAAAGGTGAGGAGCGATGCGTCGCATTTTCAGTCCCAAACAGGGGTGTCTCCAGGAATTTCTATTAAAAATATCTTTATAAGCTCTTAGTAACATCTAATTCATTTATGAAAGTCAATACAATAGTGATCCATTAAAAATGTTTCCAAATAAGGCTATGACAAATAACGATAGAGATACGCGTCATGTTCGTGATTAGTAGGCGTGGCTATAAATTAAATATGACTTGACTTTTAAAAAGAATAATTCCACTCCTGACATACGTGAATTTTTCCCAGGTCTGCTTTAGAGACATCTTGTAAGGATCTCTCCTTATCATAGTCATTTATGTAGCAAATAAATATTTGCTACATAATGTTAAAGTGCAACAATTTTGTCAGAAGCATAAGGTTTATTTTTATTTTTAAATAATATAACTTTTTTTATTTTGGAAAGTACGCCTATGGAACGTGGCGTTATATCCCCATTTTTACTGCACTCCTCTTTTATTTAGACTATAGTAAAAATCAAGGACTACTTACGAAGGATAAACTTAACTGATTACAAAATCCCATAAAGCTTTTTTAAGAAATAACTATTATGCCGGTAACTACACTGCCTTGCTTAGCTAAAACGTCCTATTTGACATGAGGAAAGTTTTGAGATAATAATGATTTTGTTTTCAAATTGTTCACTTTGTAAATATTAGGACGAAACTAAATCTAAAAAACAAGTGCTTTATATGTTGATATTGTAGTTAGGATATAGATAAATTAATAATTAAAAACCGTTTAAATGCACGGCACTGGTAACAAGTTGTTAGTTTCTCAGCATACTATTTGGAGTCACCATCGTACACTACACAATTGGCTGGTTGGCTTGACAGTTAAAGGCAACAGAAAAGAAGAAAATAAAAAGAAGATTGTAAAGCGTTCATCTAAATGACCTTTATTATTTATATACATTTTTGTGCATTTTTTACTCTAAAAAAAACTAATATTTAAATTAAAATATTGTATTTAACATAAATATTAGTCTGTTAAAGTAATAAAACCCAAAAAATATAAATAAAGAAATATTTATATTAAAATATTTGAAACACAGGAATATCATTTAATACAAGTAAGGTGCATTTAAACGTTTATTACATACATAACATGCACTCAATTCGCTCAGTGCGAAGTCATGGCAGGGGAAGCTAGTGATGCCGCGAGACGAGAGATTCTCGTCTCTCGTCTCGTCTTGTCTCGTCTCGAACGAGACGAGATAGACATTTTCTCTCGAAAACAGATTTGAGACGAGACGAGAGAGTGTAATTTCTCGACTAGAATTTCTCGTTTCTCTCAAGCTCTCTCGGGTTCTCTCGAACAATTTGCTTATTTGAAATTTTCAATTGCTTATCGTAACTTAAAATTTTAACATATTAGATTTCGAGATAGTCAAAAAGTTAACTATAACACATCTATTCTATAATATATTAAATGGTAACAAATGATACTTGTGTTATTAGGATTTTATAAATAGTGATTTATAAGAAAAAATATTACTCATTTCATTTATTTAAAATTTATGCAATCATTTCTTATATTTAATCCATTCTGCTTTTCTGAGGTTACTTTTGAAGATAAGTTGACAATTTTTAAGCGTTTTTTCGAAAAACTGTCAAAGAAAAGGTCATATAAACGGATGTATTATATACAGTGAGGACGAAAATTGTACCCTCCTCTATTTTAACTTCTAAATGAAAAAAGATAATGACAAAATAAAAACGAAGTAAAACTCAATAGATATTATATTTTTGTTATAACGAGATAAACTTTACTTGAGACATGTAAGATAAAGGGAGATACTAGCTTTAAATTTTGTAATGGAAAGTAGGGTCGTGTGTTACCTCATTTTTACGTTCATGTAAACAGATTTAGGTTTTTATGTTTTTACAGAAATTACATTAAATAAATTTATACAGCAGATTAAATTCTTTTTTTTATTTACCGCTTCAACCTCAAAGGATCATTGCCGGAGGTATAATACCTTATAAATGCTGTTTTATACAATGGATAATTAACATTTTGGCTAGTACAGAGGTAAATGTTAGTATCTTTTATAAATTTAAGTAATTTTTGACTGTTAGAGGGATTTAACACTGCAATGGCAATTTTTTGTAGCTGGTACTTTGTTCTTATACAGACATGTTCTGGGCCTTTGCTAATAAGTTACATTCTTGATAACTCTCGTATTAACAATTATTGTTTATTACTAAGGAAACGCTTTTTTGTATTTACTAAAATAAATAAATTAAGAATATCAAAGGTGATTTATAAACCAATTGACGTATTAAATTTTTCATAACTTCTTGGCAAAATAGCTTATTAAAAAATTATCTTCTAACATTTCTAGGATTATTGCGGCACACGAGGATTATCAAGAATGTAATTTTTGTAAAAACAAAAAAAAATTAAAACTTTGTGCTTCGACGTAAATATAATAATATATTTCAAATGAGGTATCACATGACTTTACTTTCTATTAGAAAATTTAAAGATAGTAACGTCCTCTATTTTACGTATCAAGTAAAGTGCATCTCATTTTAACAAAAATATCATAATGTTTCTCTAATTTCACATCGTTTTTGTTTTATGTCTCTATCTTCTTGCATTTTGAAAACATACTACAAAATGCTTTCATTTGACATCGCAGGATTGCATTAGAAAAATTCTAACTTCCAATTTAACCTCTTCCCCCCTCCCCAACTACTTACAAGACAAAGTATTTTCGTTTTTAGTTAACGCCTAATCTGGGCCACTTATTACTTTAAATTTCTAATATTTTGTTTTCTATTAATAAAATTAAGCTTTTTCTCTTTAGGAGTTAAATTTTCACTCTATTTATATTTATTTCAAAACAGTTTTTCTTCGTTTTGAGAGTTGTTCAAATTGTTTATCACTAATACTAAGTTTACGTTTTCCACTTATTTCTTGTTTTTCGTTGTGGATAGGTAAGATAGATTTTCTTATGCCACTGTATATCTTTTTCAGACTCAACATTTTCTAAAATCTGACTCTCGAGTTGGGTATAGTTAAACTAAATGTACTATTATCTAATGAAATTGGTACAGCATTTGCAATTAGTCGTTTACGTTTTAGGGCAATTTTGCTAAAAGTTTCTAGCAAAAAATGATTTCACATGGATAACAAGTTAAATTTAAATTCTTAAACTAGTTCTCATGAATTTTAACATCAGAAGGAAAAAAGGTTTTATTTGAATACTCAGCTTGAATATTATAATACTTATTTAAACAATTAAGAGTTAAACAAAAGTACTTAGCTTTACCTTTCGACGCTTTACCCGGGCCAGATATATTTTGTTATTGTTACAAATATATTCAAAAAGAATTGAAAATAGATTCAAAATAAAATTATATTTCGTTAAGGCTAAGAAAACAATGATAAACAAAGTCC